CCCATTCTAGATGGTGTGACCGAGATTACAGATTTCTAGATCCTACCGATCGTCAAATAGCCGTTAACCGTATCACAAGGCTATTTTTCAAAAATGTCGTTCATGGGATTCGAACTCTAGACCTGCCATCTGGGGTGCGACAACTCCACCACTTCACTAAGTCGCCACACCCCAAATGAAATGATTTAAAGAATATTATGTAATGATTAATAAGTATTTATATTCTTGACTTATAAACTTGTTTTGCTTGTTTTGCTATGCTTGTGATATAAGATCAGGTTATGCATATGTGCCTAAATTGCCATCTTAATAAAAAATTAATTATAGCATTTAGTGCTAAAATATTTGCCAAAATTTTTTGAACTTTTTTCATCAAAATACATTACATAGTATAGTTAATTCAGAGAGTTTTATATAAAAAATTTAGCAATGCTGAAATATTTGCTAAAAATGCTTTTTTTCAAAAATAATTTAGGCACATGTATAGATTGGGTTAGAATTAGTGTTTTGGAGATTATTGATATTTTGATACAAGTTTGGTTAGAATGGTATTTTAATTAGAAATATATTTATATAATTCTTTTTATTTTATAAAAATTATTATTTAGTATAATAAAATATTTAAACAAGAACAATGTTTATTTAAACAAAACTAATAATACAAAAATCTGCTTATTTATTGTACTACATCTTTTTCTTTAATTCTTTTTTGTACATTTTTGTTATATTGCAAAACTAATTCTCGATCTCATGTTTCATTTAATTGAAGTTAAAGTTTTATTAATAGCAATGTTAGTAGGTGTAAAATTTAAAAATTTTATAGCTAATGAATCTAAAATACTTTTTTCTGAATCATTTATAGTTCTATAAGGTTTTTTTTTTATATGAATCTCTGATTGTACTAATTCTGATTTTCTTTTTCTATTAGTAGTATTTGTATTTTGTAATGATGTCTGAGAAATAGCTAAATTATTTGAAATAATATTGTTATTTGAGCTAGATAAGCAATAATTGGTTTCAAAATTGGAGTAGGATTAAGTTTTGACAATTTTGGTTTAATCTTTTTAGATTTTTTAGCAAATAGTTCTTGTATTTGTAAATATGTATAAATATTTACTTCACAATCTCTTCTTTCATTTGTATCATATAACTTTGTACTATATACTTCTTGTTTTAAAAGACTTTCTATTCAAATTTTTCTTTTTTCATATATAGTAAATAAAAAATTATATCTAGATAGATTGAGCTCTGGAGAAAATTGTAACAAATCATAAGTTGGTTGATTAGAATTTTTAAATAAATCTAATAATTCTAGTGCTAGTTTCTATATTTTTTTCTTTTCATGAAATAATAATATAATCTAATCTTTTTTTTGGTTTGTTTTTATTTAAAAATTCATCAAGTAATTGTTTAATACATATATTTTCAGCTTGCATAGCTTTAATTTGTAATTTTAAAGTTTCATCATCAAGTAGATGCCATGTTAAAGATTGTTTTATATATTTAACCCCATATGCCTCTAAAGCCTCATTATATGCAAAATAATGATCAGTAGATAGAATATTTACTGTGACTGCATATTATAATAATCCTTCTAATTGTGAATCTTTATTTATTTTTGCTAAAAAACTACAAACTGAAGATGTATAGTTAAGTTTTTCTGCTACAAGAAATAATGGTACAAATGCTTTTAAAGCATATAATTGCATATCAAAATTACCTGTACTAATACCTATTTTGTAAGCTTTCTAAATTTCTGTCTATTTTCAAAATAATGCCTATACAGAGCAATAGTTATTAAACTATCCATCTAAAAGATAGTCAATCATAACTTGTTTTTTAGTAGCATATAAATGATGAGCAATTCTAACAGATGTCTATAATAAATCTAAAGTTAATGAAGCAGCTCTATATTTTACAACTTTTGAAAATTGCCTAAATATTTAACACCTAAAGTTGCAGCAAAATTAAATATGCCATATCCTGAAAATATTTTATAATTGTACTCATTATATTTTTGTTTGTATGCCATGCTCCTAATATAACTCATGTAAATAAATTAATATAATTTTTATAGTCATATATTCTATAAAAAATTAATTTATCAGATACTATATCCAAATATTTTTCATAATAATTTTGATTAGTTTTTTTATCAAAATATGTAGAGGCAGTTAATTCTATATCTTCTCTATATATTTCACAAAACTCAAAAATCCTTTTATTATCATTAGGTGCACTGCCAGCTTCTAAAATTACAATATTTGGTGGATCAATAAAACAACCTCTTGGAATAAATGATAAAATTTTTTAATAAATATCTGTATTGTCAAAATTTCTATTAAATAAAAATTCTGAAATTTTAAAGCAATTAAGTGATGATTTAAAAACAAAGCTGAAAATATCTAATAGTTCTATTAAATAAGATGTATACCCAAACAAATGTCAATTAATATTTAATAATATAACAGTACATACTTTTCTAATTCTATAAACTGATAAAGGCATTTTATATTGAAAAACTATTTGTAATGTAGCATAAACTGTTTTGCGAGATATATCAAATATATTGCCAAATTGAAAAGATTTTTATATTATCGACAGTAGCCAAATTCTAAATATGAAAACTAGAAAGTAAGTTTTTACTTGATGTAACTGAATTCATTCGTTGATGTTTTAAATGATGTTCATGTCTTTGTGTATAAGCAATAACATGAACAGTTCCTAACATTAATTGTAAAAATGTTAAAAATTTAGGACATCTACAAATACTTGATATTAAATAAGTTATCTAAAAATTTTTATCTTTAAATGCAATTGTCAAAATAATAGAAGTTAAAAAAGTAACAATACGAATTAAAGTTTTTTTTTTTGATTTTAAGGTGAGGCCTTGCTTATATCTTTATTAGATAATTTATATAAGTTATTACATAGAGACTATATAAAGACTTAATTTGTATACGAACAAATAAATATAAATTACATGCAAGAATAGAAGCTTAGACTGATTTATCCATGACCTAAACCTACTAGAGTGGTCAAGACTCACCTAGATTTGAATAGTTAAAATATGATTAATGGGTATGCTATATT